GTGTATTTATACAATTATGTATTAAACTTTTTAAGATTTATTACAGATTTTATGATTTTTTACAAAAAGTATTTCCGCTGCCGGGCTTCGAACCCAGAATTTTTCAAATTTAAAGAAAGAATTAAGCCATTGTGCTACAGCAGAAGTTTTGTTTAGCTATGAATATATCGTGTATTTATAACAATTATGTATTAATATTTTTAAGATTTATTACAGATTTTAAGATTTTTTACAAAAAGTATTTCCGCTGCCTGGCTTCGAACCCGGAATTTTTCAAATTCAAAGAAGGAATTTAGCCATTGTGCTACAGCGGAAGTTTTGTTAAGCTATGAATATATTGTGTATTTATACAATTATGTATTAAACTTTTTAAGATTTATTACAGATTTTAAGATTTTTTACAAAAATTATTTCCGCTGCCGGGCTTCGAACCCGGAATTTTTCAAATTCAAAGAAGGAATTAAGCCATTGTGCTACAGCGGAAGTTTTGTTAAGCTATGAATATATCGGGTATTTATAACAATTATTTATTAACTTTTTAAGATTTATTACAGATTTAAGATTTTTTACAAAAAGTATTTCCGCTGCCGGGCTTCGAACCCGGAATTTTTCAAATTCAAAGAAGGAATTTAGCCATTGTGCTACAGCGAAAGTTTTGTTAAGCTATGAATCTATCGTGTATTTATAAAATTATGTATTAAACTTTTAAGATTTATTACAGATTTTAAGATTTTTTACAAAAATTATTTACGCTGCCGGGCTTCGAAACCGGAATTTTTCAAATTCAAAGAAGGAATTTAGCCATTGTGCTACAGCGGAAGTTTTGTTAAGCTAAGAATCTATCGTGTATTTATACAATTATGTATTAATATTTTTAAGATTTATTACAGATTTTAAGATTTTTTACAAAAAGTATTTCCGCTGCCGGGCTTCGAACCCGGAATTTTTCAAATTCAAAGAAGGAATTAAGCCATTGTGCTACAGCGGAAGTTTTGTTAAGCTATGAATATATCGGGTATTTATAACAATTATGTATTAACTTTTTAAGATTTATTACAGATTTAAGATTTTTTACAAAAAGTATTTCCCCTGCCGAGCTTCGAACCCGGACTTTTTCAAATTCAAAGAAGGAATTTAGCCATTGTGCTACAGCGGAAGTTTTCTTAAGCTATGAATCTATCGTGTATTTATACAATTATGTATTAAACATTTTAAGATATATTACAGATTTTAAGATTTTTTACAAAAAGTATTTCCGCTGTCGGGCTTCGAACCCGGAATTTTTCAAATTTAAAGAAGGAATTAAGCCATTGTGCTACAGCAGAAGTTTTGTTAAGCTATGAATATATCGTGTATTTATAACAATTATGTATTAATATTTTTAAGATTTATTACAGATTTTAAGATTTTTTACAAAAAGTATTTCCGCTGCCGGGCTTCGAACCCGGAATTTTTCAAATTCAAAGAAGGAATTTAGCCATTGTGCTACAGCGGAAGTTTTGTTAAGCTATGAATATATCGTGTATTTATACAATTATGTATTAAACTTTATAAGATTTATTACAGATTTTATATTTTTTACAAAAATTAATTCCGCTGCAGGGTTTCGAACCCGGAACTTTTCAAATTCAGAGGAGGAATTTAGCCATTGTGCTACATCGGAAGTTTTGTTAAGCTATGAATATATCGTGTATTTATACAATTATGTATTAAACTTTTTAAGATTTATTACAGATTTTAAGATTTTTTACAAAAAGTATTTCCTGTGCCGGGCTTCGAACCCGGAATTCTTCAAATTCAAAGAAGGAATTTAGCCATTGTGCTACAGCGGAAGTTTTGTTAAGCTATGAATCTATCGTGTATTTATACAATTATGTATTAATACTTTTTTACCAAAAGTATTTCCGCTGCCGGGTTTCGAACCCGGAACTTTTCAAATTCAGAGGAGGAATTTAGCCATTGTGCTACATCGGAAGTTTTGTTAAGCTATGAATATATCGTGTATTTATACAATTATGTATTAAACTTTTTAAGATTTATTACAGATTTTAAGATTTTTTACAAAAAGTATTTCCGCTGCCGGGCTTCGAACCCGGAATTTTTCAAATTCAAAGAAGGAATTAAGCCATTGTGCTACAGCAGAAGTTTTGTTAAGCTATGAATATATCGTGTATTTATAACAATTATGTATTAATATTTTTAAGATTTATTACAGATTTTAAGATTTTTTACAAAAAGTATTTCCGCTGCCGGGCTTCGAACCCGGAATTTTTCAAATTCAAAGAAGGAATTTAGCAATTGTGCTACAGCGGAAGTTTTGTTAGGCTATGAATATATCGTGTATTTATACAATTATGTATTAAAGTTTTTAAGATTTATTACAGATTTTAAGATTTTTTACAAAAAGTATTTCCGCCGACAGGCTTCGAACCCGAAATCTTTCAAATTCAAAGAAGGAATTTAGCCATTGTGCTACAGCGGAAGTTTTGTTAAGCTATGAATCTATCGTGTATTTATACAATTATGTATTAAACTTTTAAGATTTATTACAGATTTTAAGATTTTTTACAAAAAGTATTTCCGATGCCGGGCTTCGAACCCGGAATTTTTCAAATTCAAAGAAGGAATTTAGCCATTGTGCTACAGCGGAAGTTTTGTTAAGCTATGAATCTATCGTGTATTTATACAATTATGTATTAATATTTTTAAGATTTATTACAGATTTTAAGATTTTTTACCAAAAGTATTTCCGCTGCCGGGCTTCGAACCCGGAATTTTTCAAATTCAAAGAAGGAATTTAGCCATTGTGCTACAGCGGAAGTTTTGTTAAGCTATGAATCTATCGTGTATTTATAACAATTATGTATTAAACCTTTTAAGATTTATTACAGATTTAAGATTTTTTACAAAAAGTATTTCCGCTGACGGGCTTATACCCGAAATTTTTCAAATTCAAAGAAGGAATTTAGCCATTGTGCTACAGCGGAAGTTTTGTTAAGCTATGAATCTATCGTGTATTTATAAAATTATGTATTAAACTTTTAAGATTTATTACAGATTTTAAGATTTTTTACAAAAATTATTTACGCTGCCGGGCTTCGAAACCGGAATTTTTCAAATTCAAAGAAGGAATTTAGCCATTGTGCTACAGCGGAAGTTTTGTTAAGCTAAGAATCTATCGTGTATTTATACAATTATGTATTAATATTTTTAAGATTTATTACAGATTTTAAGATTTTTTACAAAAAGTATTTCCGCTGCCGGGCTTCGAACCCGGAATTTTTCAAATTCAAAGAAGGAATTAAGCCATTGTGCTACAGCGGAAGTTTTGTTAAGCTATGAATATATCGGGTATTTATAACAATTATTTATTAACTTTTTAAGATTTATTACAGATTTAAGATTTTTTACAAAAAGTATTTCCGCTGCCGGGCTTCGAACCCGGAATTTTTCAAATTCAAAGAAGGAATTTAGCCATTGTGCTACAGCGGAAGTTTTGTTAAGCTATGAATCTATCGTGTATTTATACAATTATGTATTAAACTTTTTAAGATTTATTACAGATTTTATGATTTTTTACAAAAAGTATTTCCGCTGCCGGGCTTCTAACCCGGAATTTTTCAAATTTAAAGAAGGAATTAAGCCATTGTGCTACAGCAGAAGTTTTGTTAAGCTATGAATATATCGTGTATTTATAACAATTATGTATTAATATTTTTAAGATTTATTACAGATTTTAAGATTTTTTACAAAAAGTATTTCCGCTGCCTGGCTTCGAACCCGGAATTTTTCAAATTCAAAGAAGGAATTTAGCCATTGTGCTACAGCAGAAGTTTTGTTAAGCTATGAATATATCGTGTATTTATACAATTATGTATTAAACTTTTTAAGATTTATTACAGATTTTAAGATTTTTTACAAAAAGTATTTCCGTTGTCGGGCTTCAAACCCGGAATTTTTCAAATTCAAAGAAGGAATTTAGCCATTGTGCTACAGCGGAAGTTTTGTTAAGCTATAATAATATCGTGTATTTATAACAATTATGTATTAAACTTTTTAAGATTTATTATAGATATTAAGATTTTCTTGCCAAGAGGTATGATCACTCTCATAAATTAATTCAAAACTCAAGAATCTTTGGATATCATGTGTACCAAATATGATGAATCTAAACAGTGTGTGATTGCGATATTGAGCCTCATCAAGCAAAACAATGCATAGCCCAAATCAACCCATATGATTCAAGAGGCAAGACTGATAAACTACACCTTAAACCCTTCATCCCATGTAGATCCATAGTTCCATCATGACGTTGTAACGGTTAAACTACACCAATACTTGTTTAAATTAGTATACTTCCGACCAATACTTATTTAATTACCATCATGGAAGAAGCATTAATGTGAAAAACACTTCTACATGAACAAAACATACATCTTTTAAAACCCTCATTACCAATACAAATTGCATGACTTTCCTACACTGCAAGATCTATCTCCTCAAATCAAGAAAATAGCCAAACATCTCCAAGAAATTGCAAGAACAATGGACGATGTTAAATTTTGTAAAATACGTGCGGGTAGGGTCGTGTAAATTTTCTTCTTTTTATTCACACTTCACGTGTTGTGTGTGGAACTGCGTTCACATTAGTTTAACAGCTCGACACAACCATATTCATACAAAGTCTTGATAATATTGATTGCGTTAGAGCCAGAACCTATAAAAAACCATTAAAAAAAAACAAAAAAATATATATTTTAAGGAACAACAAAATTTATTGCTCAGCACAGAAGGTTAGGGAGATCATTAAGAGTCCATTACAAAATTTTGGGAGGCTGAAACATTAATGTTCTTGACTCGTACGGATACTCTCATGTTCATACACATAAACTAGTTATGTTTTTGTCTTTGTCAACAACCTCAATTAATATTTAGCAGTTGATGGTTGGAGAGGAACTTTTTATTTACTCTTTTTATCTTCTGCCTTTTAAAGACTACTTATTTCTCTTCTTCTTCTTTATTGCTTATAGCTTCTGAGCATCAATGGATCCACATCATAATAATCTTCTCCTCTTTGTAGCCTTTTTTGTTCTCTGCTTAGCCGCGAGTGGAGTAACCGGGTATGCCACGGTCACAGGCTCGGTGTTTTGTGACCAATGCAAGGATGGGGAGAGATCTTTGTTTGATTTTCCTGTCTCTGGTAATAATTATTAACATTTTTACATTGCTGTCTATGCTTGTGTTCCTTAAGATGTGTTTGTTGATTTGTTTCAGGAATCAAGGTTAGTGTCACATGTTCTGATGAAAATGGAGAGGTCTATATGTCAAGAGAAGAGACTACTAATTGGCTTGGAGGTTATGTAATGAGATTTGATGGTACACCGGATCTGAGTAACTGTTATGCTCAAGTTTCAGATAATGGAGTTCAACAAGACCCAAGTAGTTGCAGCATTGCTTCAGGTCCTGCACAGAAACTTAAACTAATGTTCAGCTTTTTTGGGATTGAAACGTTTGCTGCGGATGCGCTTCTTGCTCAGCCAATTCAGCCAAGGTCTTTTTGTCCTAAACCACCCGCAGCTCCGGTCATGCCTCCTCCTCAAGTCCCGGTCATGCCTCCTCCTCAGGTCCCGGTTAAGCCTCCTCCTAAGGTCCCGGTTATAAGTCCTGATCCTCCAGCTAAATTGCCTCATCCTCTGGTCCCGGTCATAAGTCTTCCTCCAGTTACATCACCTCCTCAGTTTAAGCTTCCACCTTTGCCTCCAATGCCATTTGTAGAGCCATCAGCTTGTTCTCACCAGTGAGCTTTCTCTCTGATTCATTACCTAGCACACTTCAATTCAATGCTGGACTTTCAGTTTTTCGGTTCCATATTTTTTGGCTCCATGAGTGAGCTTTCATATTTATTCCTTATAGCACTTCAAATTATGCTTAGCCATTTGGTTTTTAAATTTGATTTTTCAACTAAACCAAATTTTTTGTTGGTTTGAATTTTTTTGCCTATTCGGTATATATATGAAATGTTTTGCCAATTCGGTATATATATTCATGAGTAGTATAAATTTTACTACTAGAGTTTGATTTACTCAGTTTGGTTACGCTAAGCTTGGTTTTTAGTTCGGTCTTACTATGATAGTTAACATTCCATATGAAGATTGAAGAGAAATATTTTTTAACATTTTGGCTTGGTGATATAGGTTGTGGATGAAACCTGAGTACAGATGCTACTGGAAGGTGATAGGTCCAGACACGAAGGTTGCGGTTGCATTTGGGCTAGTAGCCGGGAGGAGATACGGCACTGATATGACAGTACGTGAAGCGCTTGACGGGCGAGGAGAAGCCTATAAGACACTCCTAAGAGAGGCAACAACTGCATTACTCAATTCATACAACTCTCTAGGCTTTCCATATAATTCCATCGCTGTGATCACATATACCAATTTGGCTCTCCTCGGGAATTCGGAACATGATGTTCTCATGACCGCTATTCGTTTCATTAAGGCTAATTCCGGAACCTGCAGATTTACAGTCTGCAATTGATTGTTGTGTTTTTCTTCCTTACATACTCTACACTTTCATTGTTTTAGGGTCCTTTTGTAATACTATAAAAGTCTATACCTGGATTCATTGGAGAATTTATGGACTTTTGTTATATTCCCTCTTTATACTAAGCATTAAAATTAGTTGTTACAAAGCCTAACGTTCTAGGACCGTGAGCACTAAGAATTGGAATTTTGTTTGATATGATAAAACATCATTCAAGCACATAAATCAGTTTTTACATCTCACAGACATAATGCATCATTGGTTGGAGAGGGACATGAACAAAAATAGATATGCTTCATTCATAAGAGAGAGATCACAAGGTCTTAGAAATAGAAGAAAACAACCACTGAACTATTTATTATTATATATCAGACAAGGAACGTCCTGTTATGTTTCTGGCTATTTCAAAACACAGGCTTTGGTCCATCAATTGGTCTTTTACTAGCAGACAGCTCCTGCTCAAAACCAAAGCACATCAACATCAGCAAAATCCGTTAAGAGGGTTTGCAGAAAAACGAAAAAAAATAAACGAAATCAGCGATCAAAGCAGATATAGATCAGGTTTTGTACCTTTTAAACTCACTCTAACGTGTTCTTTTGACTAATCATTTCCTAATACTCCATTGCAAAGGGATGGAAGTGAAATCAGCCTAAATGTTTCTTCATCATTGTCCATATTGCGTTGGCGGGTAACAATAACTAAGTAGCTTCTTGAAGAGAGGAACAATCGCAACCATAGCAAGTTGGATCTGCTCGGAGCTGTTTACACGGACACTTACTTGCCCTGCTCCTCTATTATTCAGATTACAACGAGCGATTAAATTAGAGGAACGTCCAATGGGAACCTGAGACTGTATGTTCCCTCCGATAGCAAGATCACCGTGCCAATCCATTACAGAAAGTCCAAGAGTAGTCAAAAACCGGCCAAGCGGATAATCTTTATCTCTCAACTGAGCTTCTAAAGTACCACCATAAGCAAAATCTCCCCGGCTAGTCATAGCTCCACCAGACATTACCATTCTGAACCATTTACTAGCAATCAACTTATCTTCGACTTTCAACCCTGCAGAAACCGAATCACCCAAGAGTGTTACAGAAAGACCAGCTGCAGCTTTGTTTCTCCTGAAATTGTTAAATCTCGTTTCGCTTCGAAGAGTATAAGCCAATTCCTTTCCAACAGTTTGCATGTCAAAACCTAGGGAAGTTGATTTACCCTCTCCATGTTTAACCGAGCTGGCCATTTCCAGCTGCACATTAGCATCCTTCTTGTCCTTTGTCACTTGACCTGAGACAGATATTGGTATTTTGTCTTTTACAACAAAGAGCCGTTCTGCATTCACACCTTCATAACCAATATCATGATCCCACCCATGGGTTTCCAGAACTGGCCTAACGAGCCACTGATTGGAGGAATCAAGGTAGCGGTAGCGGTGAGTAGGGTTATCAGAGTCAAAAGACGCAGGTAGAGATAAATCTGGCATGGGAACTGGAACTGATGCAGGTCCACCACTCTCCTCTTCTACATTTTCACTATACCCATCAGGCAAATCTTTAATCTCTGCAGCAAATTTCTTAAACATCTTACGTCTCTTTCTTTCCTCTTTCATTTGCTTTTTCATTAATAGTTTCTCCCGGTACTCCATCTCATCGAGATACTGCTTCTTCTGAGATTTACTAAGCGTAGCCATTTGAGCTTTAGTCAAACTCTTAAAGGGAGGAAGCTGATCATACTCTGATTCTTCGTCTGAATCCGATGATTCGTCTAAATCATCTTCATCTTCTTCATCCCCATACTGCTGTTCAGGAAGCTTAGGTTGTGGTCTTGACTGCAGAAGTGATGAAAGGAGAAATGGTAATGGCGGAGCCTTGGACCGAGCTGCAAATGGTCTCCCAGGAATATTATCTTGTAACTTCAGAAGAGCATTTGCTTCTGCTAGAATCTTGGATGCAAATGAGAGTAACAACAAATGTGGCTTCCACACTTGGCCATTCGGTAATACTCTCTGGCCTGCCCGATTAGTCCTGCAAGCAGAGTGATTCTCAACTAAAGAAACAGGGTTCATGAGCCTCATATCTCCAGCTGCTTGGCGAATAGCCTGCTGGATGACGTGAGAGCGTTGTGTTACAAACATGTCATAGCTAGAAGCAGTGCCATTTGGGCCATCTGGTGGAACAGAAGCGGCATGAGTCAAACCCACAATGGCATTAAACCAAATCGATGGACCAAAAACATCACTTATGGTGCGCAGGAGAGGCATGTCACCAGAATCTCTGCTTTGCATATCCAACCTATCAAGATATAGTACAATGTCAGGTGGATTCTTCTTGATGAAAGCCTTAACAGAATTCAGGATCTTCTCATTCTTGGCTTGATCAGACCAGGAAGGTAAGAGACCGGGAGTGTCAATCACCCGTACCTTAATTCCCTGAACCAAACCCTCAACATCTTGAACCCTCTTTGTCCCCATCTGGAATGCATCAGTACAAAATTTCACTTCATCAAATATAGAATTGATCGTTGCACTTTTACCAACCCCACTTTTACCGAGAACCATAATCGTACAAGAAAAATCAAGTGGATCCTGTCCAGCAGCCTCAAGCTGTTCTGCCATGGCACTGGCACGATCAAAACTAAAAGCACCAACACGGCTTCCATTTCTGCCCCTCAACTGCTCAGCCAATCCAAGCCTGTATAAAACCTGAGCAACAACAACATTATGCGGGGTTTGCCCTAGTCTATGTGCAAGCCTCAAAAATTTTACCCTGATCAACTGGAGCTTCTCACGGGTCTCATCATGCTCATCAGTCTCTACAGTGGTAGAGTCCTCAGCTTGCTGAGACTGATTGTGAGACCCATTCCCATTGACACGAGACTGTTGAGGAGCACGTGATGCAGGTTCCAAAAGAGGAGAAGCACGACCAAGACCTGCTGGACGAGCAGGTGGTAATGCTGCAGGATTACTTCTAGACTCTATTGGTGAAACAGAACTTACTACCTCAGCTTCTGTTTCCACATGTGAATTTTCCTTAATCTCTGGATCTACATTTACTCTGCTGCTTTGCTGCTTCTCAAGTTCCTTATTAGGTTGAGGCCTCTGTTGGACATCATGTCCTCCATTAGAATTTCTAACTGTCTCGTTTTCTCTAGAAGTTACCCCAGGGGAGCCACTATTGCTGCGAATTTCAGTAGACTCAGGATTTGAGTTCGGCGAAGAAGCCAATTGTTGCTCTGGTTTTAAACAAGAACTGTCCCCTTCAGTCTCTCCCTTTTCCCCGGAACTAGATTTATCCAATGGAGATGAAGACTCAGCACTTGCTACTTCAGTACTATCATTCACAGATTTGTCACCTGAAGCATTAGTTTCAATATCACTTGTGTAGGCGGCACCAGTCTCACCATTTGTTTTTGCCTCGGACTCATTGTCTATACATACTGAACCAGAACCATTCTCAAATAGATTCTTACCTGTTCCTGCACCATCCACAACCAATTGTGTAGGCGAAGAAGCCAATTGTTGCTCTTGTTTTAAACAAGTACTGTCCCATTCAGTCTCTCCCTTTTCCCCGGAACTAGATTTATCCAATGGAGATGAAGTCTCAGCACTTGCTACTTCAATACTATCATTCACAGATTTGTCACCTGAAGCATTAGTATCAATATTACTTGTGTAGGCGGCACCAGTCTCACCATTTGTTTTTGCCTCGGACTCATTGTCTATACATACTGAACCAGAACCATTCTCAAATAGATTCTTAATTGTTCTTGCACCATCCACAACCTCTTGTTCTGTCTGTTTCTCAAACAGATTCTTACTTCTTCCTTCACCCTCCTCAACCTCTTGTTCTGTCTGTACACCATCAACTCTTTCCTCCCAATTTTCGACTTCAATGCCATCATCCCATGGTTCCTCAATCCCATCATCTTTTGGGATAACTTCAGCCACCACTTCTTTATTCTTAGGAGAGGCGATTCCATTTCCCAAAAAAGAATGAGTCTGTCCGTTTTCAATACTCACATCCTCAGCCGCTAACTTCAAACCATTAGTATTAGACATCTCAGTATTCTCAACAACATCCAAGCTCGATTCAACTTTACCACAAGAATCACCTGCACCTCCTTCCCCCTTATCACCATTCATTTTCGGAGCCACAACATCAAATCCAGCTTCCCCCGCACCATGGCTCTCTCCAACAACCGAATAATCAACATTCAAATCTTTAACACCCCCTTCATTACTACTTGTTTCATCCAAATCACCCACAGCCTCTTCAAAATCCTCCACTTCATTCTCATCCTTCGAACTTTGACGAGTTTCCTCTAAAGGTAAATCATCAGTCTCCAACAATTCACGTTTTGGATCCTCCTCCTGCTCATCATTCTCTGAACCAATCGCTTCCTCAAAAACATCATCTTCTTTATCCTCCTTTACTTCATCAGATCCCAACAACTCATTCTTCGCTACTTGCTCATCGCTAATTCTATCTGACCTAACAACAACCTCAGTCCCATCTCCCATTTTCTAGATCACCACCGCTACCCAAAAAAAACAACCAAATCAGAGATCAGAAATCACTGCAACTACCAAATATAACCATCAATATAAGATTCCAACAACCAAAATAATTAAAAAAAAAAAAATCGAGCACACAGCTAAAAAAAAACCCTAGATCAGAGTTAATCACCACCACGAATCCTAGAATCATCATCACTTACCAATCCCAGAAACTGAAATTCAATTGAAGTGAAACAAATCGCTTAAGCAAAAGTATATTTAGTGATAGGGATCTCCAAACATACAAAGAAGAACTTGTTGAATATAGCAAACCAAAACCTAAACGGAAGAGAGACGACGAAGACGAAGAAATGGAGAAAAACCTTACCAGAAGTTAGAGAGAGAGAGAAATAGAGAGAAGGTGAAAAGTGTGAAGATCCTTCATGCGCTTTACCGGCTGCGAGCCTGCGACTACGACGGAGAAGGAGATAAGAGACATTGATGAACGGTCCTGATCAGTTTGGGTTTAAGCATCGTACGGTTGATAGTGATTCGTTGATGCAATCGTGAAATGATGCTGACGTGGACTAAATAAAGTAGAGTGAGTGAAGCCGTGAAGGGAATAGAAAACCCTCGTGTGTCAATTCGATTTAACCAACCCGGTTCGGTTTGGTTCGGTCTGATCAACTACAGTTTTAACCAATTTTTTTGGTTCCCTCTTTCTAATGAGCAAATTTCAGTCCATTACTATAGAATCAATGATGTTTTTTGTGTTAATCTTTCGAATAAAACTCATAACAAATGATCCTGTTTTCGACGGCGAGATACATGAACTCAATAAGCTGTTGGAGCTACTAAGAATCTTCCCATTTCAAGAAGTTGCAAGCTTTCCATTACTTTTAGGTGAATCTAAACCACTTTGTCTGCTAATACACATCCAAGTTCTTGAAGACTCTTCATTGTTTTCGCATGAAACCGGGAAATGCCATGACCCTTTCTCGGATTCCTGATTTGTCGAAATGTAATTCAGAAACTATTCAAATCAGGGGAAATAAAAGGGACTGAGATGGTAAACAAACCTGAATGACAACCGAAAAAGGAGACGGCATTTCAAGCTTCAGATTACCTTTCACAAAAGTATACCGGACCTGTACCAAAACCAAAAACCAAATGCTCTAATTGTAGATTTCTCAAAATTGCACTTTTACTATATGAAGTTACATTTATATAACTCTACCTGATGCCTTTCTTTCCACTTTTGGAAAAAAGTACTCCCTAAGAGTTCAAAAATGTGGTCTCTCATCTCATCATTTGTCACAAGCAAACACTTGAGCTTAGCAGCAGCATACAGCCAATACCTGGGAAGGTTAAAATACAAAAGATGAGTGTAGTAACCAAACATTGTTTGTGTTTTTTTGTCGAACTAATGGTACTGTAAGAAAAGCTAAAAGTTCATACCAATCATCATTGGAACCTGGTGGAGTTGCATATAGGACACCGTTACTAATCCATTCTTCAACCAGATTCCGGTGGGTTGGGTTTTCTAAAAGCGCCCTGACCCGTCTCTTGTGCAATAGAATTAGGGGCCATTTATTATTACCACTTTCACGGTAAAGTTCCTTCACCACAGATTCAAGCTGCTCTATCGCACATGTATCATGTATGTGTTATCAGTATCGCATGAATGGATTCGCAAATATGGAGGAAGAAAGACAACAAAAAAAATTTTAGAACCTGTGGAACACTGAAACCGCCATCTGCAAAATTTTGTTGGTAGAGCCCAATATTTGCTCCATCTACTATAGCTTCATAATCTCCATGTTTCTCAAGCCAGTCCTAGCAATTAGATAGCAACATTCAACAAAGGTTGACATTTGAATACTCAAGATAAATGTATTTCGTATTTTCAATAGAAACTCTGTTTCAAGCCTCAATGCTACGATGGGCAATAGGAGATTACCTACATTTATCTTGAGTATTCAATTAGATAGCAACATTCAACAAAGGTTGACATTTGAATACTCAAGATAAATGTATTTCGTATTTTCAATAGAAACTCTGTTTCAAGCCTCAATGCTACGATGGGCAATAGGAGATTACCTTCATTTATCTTGAGTATTCAATTAGATAGCAACATTCAACAAAGGTTGACATTTGAATACTCAAGGTAAATGTATTTCGTATTTTCAATAGAAACTCCGTTTCAAGCACCACTGCTACAATGGGCAATAGGAGATACCTACATTACATCACAGGAAATCTAAACCACACAGAAACCAAATACGAGCATTTCTTTTCTGTTTTACTTCTATTTTTCGATAAATGCATGTTATATAACTTTCACATTCAGAACTACACAGAACTCGGACAATGTGTCTCGATTGATGACAAATTCGCAGTAAAATCTCCTTTGCAGTAAAAACTCCAAGCCAAGCACTATACCTATCTCGAAATGCTTATCAAAGTTAACTAAACAAACATAAACTTTCATTTTCTGAAATATCTAAATCATGCAATATTTAATGTCCCAGACTTATTACAAGCAAGCTAGAGAATCCAGGAATCATCAATTCTTTCTCTAACCTGAAACTCGCTGAAGACCACATTTGACTCGCATGAATTCATCTTTGCCTTCCTCTCCATAGCCAAAGCCACCAAAGAATCCACAAACTTCTGTGTTTCTACCTCATTGGTATCTACACAAGCCAACTGCTCACTGCAGCTCAAACATTTACCGGTTGAGCTAACATTACCTTTCTTAACAATCCATTTGCCCTCACCAACCCACCCATGCCCGTGCCACCCACCTCCATTCTTCAAAACAGCTTCTCTAAGCAGCCAAACATCATAACCAATTCCATTATCACTAACCTCACCAGCTTCCTCTCCACAGAACCATTCTTCAATTATTTTCGAAGTTTCTTCACAAACGCAGCCAACATATTCCCTCAACTTATGTAAATATCTATAAACCTTGTTTTCTCGGCCCGTGGCAGCACTTACCTTCAACAAAGCCAAGATCTCTGCCTCCTCCAATGCAATTCCTGCAGCTTCCATGTGCTCTTCCACCTCATAACCCTTTTCAGCCTCCAATCTCTCACAGAAACAGAGCAAAGCCGGCGCATAGGTCCTCAGACGGGGAATCGACACACCGCCAACAGAAACAAAGTCCTTAACAACCTTGAAAGCATACTCACCATCACCTTTAGCAGCAGCCAACCTAGCCACTGAAGTGACGGATGCCTCATTAGGACTTATCCCCGAACTAACCATACGATCAAAAATCTCGAAACCACGGTCAATGGCAAGGCTCCGAAGAGATGTGTCACTAATAGAAGCCGAGCATAGGTACAAAAGCGTCTGAAAATGCTGCTGGCTGAGACGTACTTCACTGGAAGTGATGGCTGCATCATAAAGGGCTAATGCAGCTGAGAGGTCCTTGGACTTGGAGCATGAATTGAGATTGAAGAGGAGATTTGTTTCTGGGTTTCTGCTTATCTTATTCTTCTTGTTGGGTTTTGAAGAGCTTTCATCGTGGTGGCGAGACCGGTGTTGATCAGAAGCAGCCATGTAAATCTCAAAGTTACAAGCTTTGCATTGGTAGAAAGTGGAAAATGAAACCCTAACCCTGACCAGAATAAAATCCCCAAAGATAAGATAGTTGAAACAATCAAATTAACACAATTCCAAAATCAATCTTGAGTATTCAGTTCCAATTCAAAACCAATAACAGACAGTTGCAAAACATATCCCAGTTTCAGTTCCTAAAAACAGAACAAAGATGAAAGACCTTACCTTGTTTCAAGTAAATGACGCCGGAGAGATAAACCAGCTGGCGGAGGATTAAGTGATTAAACGGTGGCGCAACGTCGATGCCAAGAATTCAACAAAGACCACGGCGGCGGTGACTCAATGACAAGAACATATTTAAAAGGTAAACCGGGTTTTGAATTATCGATCCCGGTTTAGCGGAATTTTGGTTGAGTTTACCATTCACTTGTAATTAAATTAAGCATTTAAGCTGGTTCTCGAGTTAAGGAGAAGGTGATATGTTGAACCGGTCATTAGATTTATAGGAAAAATCATTTTTCTCCGACTTTTAAATTGTGGTCATTTGAGACATCAATTTCATATGTGGTCATTTAAAACATGACATTTAAAACATGAACTAAACGTTGACTAACCTTTCTGAAAATTTGTTGATCATGCCAAAATAGACATGCTGTTATTAGACGTTAACGGAACATCTAACGCCCGTTATCATACATTAACAGCTTTGTTAGTCAACTTTCAAATTGTGGTCATTTTAAACATCAACTTCATATGTGGTCATTTAAAACATGAACTAAACGTTGACTAACATTTTAGAAAAGTAAAAACATCATTCATGCATATCATTTTCAAAACCAATACATTTAATTTTTTTTTGTTTTAGGTTTTTCTAATTGATGAAGCGGTATAAATTGTTGCCAAGGCTAGCAATTGCATGACACTTTTTTTTTTATAAGAGGTAAAATTTTAGTCAAATTTACCCAGTTTGACTCAAAACTTAGAAAAAATAATTAGAATGACTCTCAATCCAAATGGATAACTAGAATAACCCAAATTTTATGTAAAAAGACTATTTAACCTTTCATTATGTCATTTCTTTTAAAAATAAAAATCAAATTCGTTTTTTTTTAATTAAAAATCAAATATGGCAGTTAATTTTAACAAGTCTGCTACATTAAAATTAAGTATGCCATATCCTCATTTTGCAGATTTTTTTAAAAATTGCCAAACATAATCTTGTCGTGATAAAATCCGATAAATTTGTCATGATAAAATAAAAATATGTCAAAACATGAAAGATTCTGGTGTCCCTAAATAGATCATTCCAGTAATTTATTTTTAATTCAAGAAATCTGCTATGAAACACCAGATTTTTTTAAATTAAACATAAATCTGGCATAACATAAAACAATCTGTCATAACGTTAAACATATCGGTTGGGACTATATGTCATTCTAGCAATTTTAATTTTTTTTTAAATAAATCTGCTATAACATTCCAGATTTTTTGTTAACATTAAAAAATCTATCATAACGTAAAACAAATCTGTGAGCACTAAAAAGTCAAACTAGTAATTATTTTTTATTAACAAATCTACTGTATTATGACAGTTTTTTTCCAAAAATATAAGTCTAACGCCAGTAGAAACAAAAATCTGCTACATATTATAATAAAACTGTCAAAATTACGAAAAGTTGAGGCGTCATCATAAAATAAGTCTGGCAAAGGAAAAAAATGTGGTACAAATTAAATATATGTCGTAACTATATTCAAATAAGTCTGTGGGAGAAAAAAAACTGCCGCAGAAAATCTGTCGTAGACTATTAAGTCTGTCAGGGAAAATAAATCTGTCACAACGACGACCACAAACCTTTAACGGCAGATTTGTTTTTTCGAAAAAATTTCATCCACGTTTCCAGGAAAATCAGAGGGTATTATTGACTTTATTTTTTTCCTAACAAAGAGACAAAGGGTATTTTGGTCAGGAAAATAACTAGATTAACCCATATATTTTACGAGTTATTTTAGTAATTAAACCTTATTTCTGGGTCAAACTAGTTTTTTCCCCAAAATTTTATACCATTTTGAGATTTTTGACAGAAGTTACAGAAAAAATAAAAGCACGCTACAGAAAAAAAAAATAACATTACTATTCAAAAAGCTTTGGATCGCTGCTGAGAAATTATGGCCAAGTCGCGATAGAAACATCGATTCCGAGTCCACGAAACTCGGAAATTTGCGAGATCGCCACAATACCGACGTATTGGAATTCTCATTGTTGTTGCCACGAGCCGAACTATCCGAGGCCCGTCCTCAAAACCTCGAGATATTAGCCTACAGGTTCTCTGAGAACTAACGCAAAAATGTACAGGCAACCGCGGACTTCTACACTAGCTCAACGAGTTAGCGATGCCACTTAGACCTATCTGCCGCCTCTATGACACTTGATTGCCTCTCATCTAACTTTTTTCTGGTTAAAAATGTAAATATTTTATTAGATATAAAAACGGTTTAAATTTCAACCAATGATTATAAACTTACATAAATATTGATTTCATGGCAAAAAAAAATCTAAACATGGAAACATAATCTATAACTAGAATTTGGTTCATCCATTCAATCAAAGCCTCTCATTTTAAGATCATGACCCTTACCATCAGTCGCACCAACGTAGTGATGGAATTATCCAATAGAATATTACTGTCATAACTGTCGTGTATATAGCCGCCACGATGAATATGAAAAAGGTCCAAAGATTAGCAACAAAGGTTTAGAGGAATAGCAAGGTCGACAAATCATCGACGGATCTGTTTATGACTTCTGCTTCCGTTCCTACCACAATGTATACGACCATTACCATCATGTGTTCGTGAAAGTCTTCATAGCTAAAAAAAACTCTACCAAGTGTCTTGAAACTTTATTCGCTTTCTTAAAAAAAAAAAAAAAATTGCTTCCAGGTGTTTTAAGTTTCAATGACGAGCTATAAGCCTATAAGGCTATAACCACTAATTTCAGTCACAAGCTTGCATTTTTTTTTTGGTAAAACACAAGCTTGCATTTTAAAGTAATGTCACCAAGTAAATAGATGGTTTATCCGTCAGGGGCAAATGGAATGAAGTGTGGTTAAACGAAATAATAGCGATGAGAAATTAGAAAGACACTATGTAAAGACGAGTAGTTTAAAAAATGAAATAAAAAGAAATAATCCTTTATTCATTAACAGCATAAAACAAAAAATATATTAGCTGCTGCAAAATCAACTTTATTATTAAAAAAAAAAAAAAAAAAAAAAAAAAAAAAAAAAAAAAATACATACGACAATTAGATCATGTAAATTAAACGACGATTCAGTGTTGGACCATTCGACCAAAGATAGTTCCCAAATCCCCAAATAGTTTAAAGATTTGGAGGACATGTAGGAATTTGCTATGAAGCGCCATCTCACTCTCCAAGCCCAAGATATCCAACAAGTCGTTTATTAGGCTGAACAGCTTTTGCAATTTCTGAATACATCGATATAATGTTGCCACAAAGTCGAAGAAACTGCGAACTTTAGAAATAATCGTAACAAAAAAATTGCGAATTTTAGCCACGATCATAAGAAAGAAATCACGAAGCTTGGAAAAAACAGCAGCGACGAAATTGCGAATTTTAGCCACGATCATAAGAAAGAAATCACGAAGCTTAGAAAAAACAGCAACAAAGAAGTTTCGAAACTTAGTAATAATGGCAACAAAGAAACCACGAAGCGTGGCAATCGCAGACTGGAATGATTCTTGGAACCTTTCAACCATTGGGGAGATGAAGTTATGGAGCATGTTCTTCGCAGAATCGAACCATTTCGAAACTCTCGAAAACAAATTCCTCCAAAACATTTTGCTCTCTACTTCTATTATGATTTGAATATGGAAGGGAATTATGAGAAAGAAAGCGTGAGGGATGGTTCTTTTTATATGGTTGTGCAGTTGTGCCATGCATCAATGTGTATATGTGACCGTCAAGATTCTTTGACTTTAATTATGGTCATCTTCGAGTTTCCATATATTAATTGCCCATTAATAATTAAGTGACTGAAAGATGAGAAGGCTTGGTGAGTTTCTACATTACTTTGTGTGTATACATCAAAAATTTACATATGGTACGAAGAGATACATATGGTCCCTTTTAGGAGCTACTGGGCAGAAAAATATGACTCGTCAATCTAGAGAAGCTAAGATGGTTAGCTCACATCAGGAGGTCACAAATGTTCATGATCATTCTCTCAGTGCCCAAGAGGGCAAGAGGTACCTTCAACTTTTACGGGTACGAAAATGATACCTTTAGTTCTTATTGGAACTGAAGAGGGACCTCCCTCTGCGAATGTTCTAGTTGAGGGACCAACCTTTTGGAACCAATCTGAGGTGATTCTTATACGAGTTCTTTTGGTTTTGGAGGATAATTTGTAAACACTCCATAAAAGATTTAATAAATTATGAAGATGCTCTGTTACGCAATAAAAGACTCGAAATAACGATTAAACAAAGGTTAAAAACAATTAAACGGAGTACATCAAGACCGCCAACTTGGAGGCCGCAAAGATGGAGGATGCCATAAGAGCGTGAGGAGAAGTTAGCGGGGATCATTGTGCTTACTTTAGACTAGGAGAAGCTAGGATTCTCTCAACAGTCGGCGCTTTTTGTCGAATTCGATAAGCCAAATGTTGGTGATGAAGTGCAGTCTCTGAGAAGAAAGGAACTCGACTCAAGAATCGGAATGGTGAGCGAACAAGATTTTTCTTGTTTTAACTCAATGATATTTTTTTGGTTGATAACAGGGGAAATTCTGGACCTAATCAACTGCATGAAAAGAGCTAATTTTGTTAAGCTCTTTTTCAAAACATTTATTTTCTTATTTCGATAATTTATCCGAGACTATATATAATCAAACACTTAGTATATATTTAATTTCTAACTAAATAAAATCTTAGAAAAGAAGTACTTGGAACATCAAAATGTCATTCATTTATATAATTTGAACAAATCTCGAAAAGAAAAAAATACATTGGCGATGCTTCTACAACAATATGATCTCTATTCCCTGGTACTTGCAATTTTGTTCAACAATATCTTGAATCTGATATTGTATCATGCATACAAAATCAGCATTTGAAATGTGACAAACAAATCTAGTGCGACGGAACTAGATCTATAATTCTTAACTAAGGCTACCACCAGATTTTTTGGACTTCTTGCTAGCGTGAATCTTAGCGTAAATCTCCTTCGTCCTATAAGCCAACACAAGATCCAAACCGACTCCAATAACAGAAGCTAATGCCATGACTATGAAGATGAGACGGTAACAATGAGCTCCTACACACGTGTTGCCCCCACCAGGAGTTGGTGTGGCCTCTGCATCGTAGAGGAAGCCAGCAAGGAGACCCGAGAAGAGGAACGAGCCAAGTGGCAAGTTAAGTACTAAAATGTTGTAGATGAGACCATAGTATTTGAGACCAAAGAGTTCGGACGCTGTTGGTACGGTTATGGCTAGACGGACACCGTAACAAACTCCAACCACCATTGAACCAATGTAGAGTGAATTAGGCACGGCTAAAGCCATTAGTATATATCCTACGGCCATAAGGATTTGAGAGGCTGCGTTCCACAGTGGTCTTGGTGTTCCAGCTTTCCTATAGAGTTAAAAGAACAAATTTACATTCTTTTGGTTAGTTTGTAGTTACATAACCCATACATTTAATTTTTAAAAATCAGTAAAATGTTAAAAGTTTCAAAAGAATACAAAGGGGAAATTTTTTGGTGGAAAATTAAGTGTGCACGTGAAGAGAAATTAAAGACCGTGGTCCAAAATAAGGAAAAGAGCAAGATATTTGATTTGGAATTGTCTATGTAGTACAAAAACTAGTTAAATGAATCAAACAGAAAATTCTAAAAGATCCCTTTTCTTTATATGAGAAAAAATCATTCAAGGAATGAAAAAATATACAAATTTAGAACGCATTGAATTTTGTATGTCCATATATGAGGATGAAAAATTGTATACGTCACGTTACAGTTTTGTAATGAATGTTAGTAGTTAATGTTAGAACCAGAATTGATACTTTCAATGGTAGCATCGTACAGAACGACACAGAGAAAACTGGATAGTTTATGAAAATTTTTGTTAGTTTGTGAAAAAAAAAAAACATTTTGTTAGTTTTTACTGTTGGTCCGCTCCTTTTTCAGAATGAACAGTATAAAGCGGACAAAATATGTTTATTTATCCGCTATTCACTGTTGATCTTAGGAGCGGATCAAACAGTAAATGGTAAAAAAAATGCATAGAGTGTTAAAAGGAGGAGGAGGACTTACTTGAGAAAGTATTCGGAGAGAGTACCGGAAAGAATGCGGCCGAAGAATCCCCAAATACTAGTCATGGAGACAAAGATTGAAACATTTGTGTATCCAAGGGCAAGACCTATCTGACCCATATTGTTCATCACAGCTAAACCAGTTCCTACACCACACAAGAATGACACAAAAAGCACCCAAAAGTCAACGGTCAAAACTGCTTCCATTATAGTGTGGTCTTCTCCCAACACCGGTTTCTTCTTCTTCTCCTCTTGTTCAGCTGCCACCGCAGCTACAACGACCACTTCTCTCTCCGCTGCCGCGATCTCGGATCTAAGCAACGGTTCTTGAATCCTTCCTTCTAAGTCATCTTGTTCACCGTGATTCAAGCTCTTGATGAAAGAGTGGAAAGGAATGGCTATTGGAGAAGCCAAGAGGAAGAGAAGTATGGAGGCGAAAGCAACAGAGAACACTCCGGTTTTGATTCCGATGATGTCGTAAGACTGAAGGTAGACGGCGACAACGACGGCCACAATGTTGAATATGGTAAAGTAGCGAGTCTCTTCGTTCTCCTCGGCGGCAGAAGAAGCAGGTGGGATCTCACGGAGGAAGAAAACCGCTGTGAGACAAACGGCGAAAGGGATGACTGCAAGCAAAACCAAAAACGACGCCGGATCGTTTGAAAACAGAGCAGTGCATAGGTCGGTGAATATAGCTGTGCTTAGGCCGACATATCCTTTCAAGATCCCGGAGACAGGACCACGGTTGCGTCGGAAATTACGTATGCAAGTCACTAAAACCGCCGTGTTCATCCACGTTGTGCTGTTCCCTCCCATACAGAGGAATATACACATCTGAAAAATTCAAAAAAAAAGATATATTCAATAAATCTGAAAATTAATTTTTTGACTAGTGGTTAGTACTAATAAGACCGTAATTCGGTTCAAAACTCGGAATATGCATGTGTGAGTTGTAGACGGTAAAAAAAAAAAGGAAAAAATATTGTTAGTACCTGCCAGTAAGGGATTGGTTGGATGGTGCGGCTAACAACAAGCCATTGTACACCATAACCGAGAAGACCTTCAAAACAACCAATAAGAAGGATGACAGGAGTAGGAAGACGGTCAGAGGCAAGGCCAGCGAGGATCCCAAAGGCTTTTCCGACGTCTTTAGCGACAGAGAGGTTGTTGAGCTCGAGCTGGTTGAGATTCATGAGAGACTTAAGAGCACCGGAGTAGTTTGAAAAAGTGTAGTTGTTGCCGGAGATGGCTTGAACCCAAACTGCCGTTACAAATCCAAGCCATTTTAATGCAGAAGAAGAAGAGATAGATCTTTGGAAACCCATTTGTAGAAAGAAGAAGAGAAAGTGTGTGGGTCGTGGAAATTCTCCGTGTGGACGGTTTTATAGAAGAGGAAAGGTAAAGGGTTTTATGCTTTGCGTGTTTTGTTTAATTAATTAGGTTTTGACATTTTTATCAACAATTAATAATAACAAATTGACAAGTTGTATATTTTAATTTTAAGATGTGGAATGAGCCAAGGAAGGTACGTACGAGACCGACATGTACGGGGTAAAGTAGGTGTGTATAAACCGTGGATGTATTATGACATGGAATATTAAAATACGGCGTGCTCATGTTGTGTTTTTTTCCCGGTCGTTTGAAACAATAATTGTCTGTGGCCAACTTGGGAATTGATGTATCTTCTGGAATATACGGTCGGATCTATTTACTCATTCCAATCTATTCTGCAATTTATGAGTATCCGGAAATCAGGATACGGATGCATGTTTGGGTACTAAAATTTGGGGTTTGGATACTCCTACCATACATGATTTTATACTTTATTAAACTTTAAATCATACATAACACTAAAAGATTAATTTAGAAAAAATAAAAAAAAATCTAAATCATTTATACATGATTTAGCAATAAACTCTTTTTTAAATTTTTGAGTTTACTTCAAATAACACTAAAAAGGCTCAAAATATTAAATCCTCTTGTAACATCTAATCTGGACTCGTCACATTATCATCTCTAGACATACTCCCTCCGTTTCAATTTAGTTGTCGTTTTAAGATTTAAATTTTGTTTCATAATAGTTGTCGTTTTAGGTTTTTAATGCAAATGTTTGGTGAAAATTCCAGTTTTATCCCTACTGTTTTAATGTTTTGACCAATGAAATTTTTTATAAAATATATTAATAAAGGGTAAAACAGAAAATTTAATGTTTTTCTTAATTTGTGTGAAAAAACCTTAAACGACAACTAAAACGAAACGGAGAGAGTATATTGTAAAAACGATAGATAAAATATGTGATTAAATTTAGATGACTTCAACAAATGGTTATTGGTTTAATTTAATGCCTTAATGGCGTTGTTTTCTGAAACTTTCAATTTTAGACTTTTAGTTCGAGTTTAGACGAATCTTTGTTCTAACGGAAAAATATTTAAACTTAGACATTGAATTCTTGTTTTTTTTTTTTTTCGTCTGAAGATTGTATATTTATATTGAGAAAGGAAGATTACAAACCAGTAAAAACATGGTTGAAGAATTATGGACTCCGCCATAAACTTTCAAAGCAACACTTAATCATAACATAGACTTCATTTAAGAAAATATAGCGAACGTGCTATATTACCCAAATTCATATAAATGATAATAAAGTAACACCCATATTCATCTTACTTTTATCTTAATAAAATGTATTTTGGCCACTTTTGTCTATATTCACGTTGTAGCCATCGTGTTCAAAAGATCTTAAGAGAAAGATTGTTTAATATTCGAGGTTGAATCGTTTACAGCTAGTTAGTCAGCTAGACAACCCCACGATAGATGAAACTATAATAATAATCATTTTCTATTTCCATTAGTGCTTCAAAAGTTTTTTTTTTTATTTCCAATATGTAATAATAAATTAATTTTATTGAAAATTTTGATAATATAATTTGAATATTTTAAAGTTCAAAATAGAATAATGGGTTAAAAATGGTCAAATACGGTAAATATTTGATATAGTTGCGGCAAAAACTTTTCATGACGTAAATTTGAGAACATGTTGGGTGAAAGTCATGCAACTTGCGAATTATATCATTTACAATAAGAATTAGTTATAAAATGGTGGGGACAAGAGAAAAATACATAGATTGATAAAGACGAGTCGCTATCTTACATCACTAATAGTTTTTTTTTTGAGCTATCGATCTGATTTGCGGGAGAGGTTATCACAACTTGGCTTATCACATTCGAAAAAGACAGAAATTTGAACTTTGAAACATTATCTCTTTGGTTCTGGCATTGTACTTTGTACAGGCTGTGTCTTTCACAGCCTCCACCGCTAATTAAATGGTACGATGATCTCGTTTTTCTTCACATGGATCCAACGGCTGAGAGAGAGGTGTGTGTATTGTACTATTGTTAGGTGATCCAAAGCAATAGGCAAGTGGGTGACCTTGTTTTGCGGCTGAACTTGAAGTGTAAGGTGTATGATTACGATCATGTAAATAACAATGAAACAAAAAGTGTGGTGAATAACAACGAGTAGAATTTTATGTTAGCACATTTCGTTGATCTATGCTTAAGTCCGGAGAAAGTTTAGCAGAAAGGAGGATCACAAACAGATGAAAGTGATTCAAACACCTCATCTGAACACAAATGAGGAGACTCAAACACCAAGAAATTAGTTCCTGACAATTTTTTTTTTTTTTTATTAAATGACAAAGTAAACCACCAACAAAAATTTAATGATCCGAATGTATAAGTAGTTTATGTTTGTCTACTTAGGTAGAGCCGCAGAGGACTACACTAAAAAATTGTTAAGCATGTCTAAGAAACAAATTATGTAAAAGAACTCTCATGAAAAAAATTATGTAAAAATTATATACATTCTTAGCAATATATATATATATATATATATATCTATATATATCACTAAAATTCTTCTAATATCACATTTATATAATTTACATCTGAAAATACATTTTTTTAATTTCAGGAAATGTTTTACATTAATGTTTTATTTATAACTCACCCTTTACATATTTCACTTCTAGTAAATAAAAAATTGATTTATTTTTAAAAATGATTTTATATGGTTAATGTTTAAGTTGTATCCCCGAAAATAAAGTATTACATGTGGACGTCGGATTCACACACTCAAATATTTGTTTTATTTAGTGGGAAAGATTATTCTTGAGGACAAAAAATGATACGAAAAAGCTATGAATTGCAATGGAAATGGCTATAGTATATTTGCTAGAAAAATTGCTTGTCCCTTACATGGCTCTTTGGCCTTATTATTTATACTAACAAACGATATTTAACTCTCAATTAAATACAATTATTCTCTCTTAAATGTGTCCGTTTTGATCTTCGGGATTTAATGCTCAACGTTCAAATTTGAATTAATTCCGATCTTCGTGGGTTTCGCCCTTTAGCCCAAAAGCCCCGAACTGAAATGATCTTTAACTTCGACTGCGTATCCTTCTCGAGGTGAAACCACCCCGATCTCTCTTCTTGGTATAACCACCTCGACTAAGCTCTTAGGCTTATAAGTCTACCAGGCCTTGTCCTCTATGGGCTTCTGTCCTGCCTATGTGGCAATCTTTGGTTGGTCCCGAACCACCCGTGCGGGATCCGACACCAACATTACAGTATATAGAAAGTCGATATGGCAAAAAAAAAAAAAAAAAAAATGTTGGTAAAAATGCGCAAAACCTTTATTGGCGTAAATGTACTTAAGAACATATATGGTTAATGAAATTCATGCAACTTGTAACTTGATTATCCATAAAAGAAATAAAATATAAGTGATAGAGACACGAGATAAATATATTGATATTAATCTTAAAACTAGAACGACAAGAGAGAAAATAGATTGATAAAGACGATATATATCATCAATAATAGAGATCAGCTGCTTTCATGCTTTGAACCATGAATCTGATTATCGTGAGAGCTGGTTATCACAATTTACTTATCACATTTTGAATAAGACTCAAATTATTGAATTTGAAACTTTATCTCTTTGGTAGGTACGTCCATTGTCCACGCTGTCTCCCTCAAGGCCACATTTTTCTTCAAATGGATCCAAATGGCTGAGAGAGACGTACGACAGAGGAACGTAACAGCATGGTATGTTGTAATGTTGTGTATTTTCTTTCTTTTTACAGTTAACATTTTTTTTTCCGAATGACCCCCAAAAATAAATCATAAAACCTACGACCAATAGATAAAATTATTGGTTCATATACAGTGTAAGAACTTTAAAGAAACACATCTTTAAGTTTTTTTTTTTTGAAAAAGGGTTAACACATCTCTTAGTTTCGATAGCTCGATAAGATTCTATGAAAAGTTGTTACTTAGTGTATTTTACATTTAATTACATTTTCAACTTTTATTAAAGGATAGTAATAGTTTTTAAAAGTTTATTTGTGAGGTTCGATACTGATAGAATAGAGCATATGGAAATGCACAATCTTTTGCTTTGTCGAAGGGCAACTCCAAGGCTAAACACCATTTTTTTTTTGGTAGGGAGGCTAAACACCATTTTGGTGTTGAAATTATACCATTTTAGTGTAGTTTTAGCACTAATTTGTTCTTTCTCCAACCACAACACCAAAAATCACAGTTAAATAATACTATCTACTATTATATTATTAAATTAAAGAGTCTCTTTACTATTTAATAGTTTAATTAATACATATTATTATATAATTACATCAGATTAAAAACATATTACATTGATATATATTTTTTAAAATACATAATAATATTACTATTTGAATACATCATAATATAAAAATATCATAATTAAATAAACTGTTTCAATATATAATATATTATTATATATTTATTCCTTATGTTATTTTATATTTTTTTCTTTAACTATTTTATTAATAAAATAAGTGAAAATGTTTTAGCATTATGAATAGTATCACACTAAATTTGGTATGACAAATATTCACACTAAAATAGTGTGAATTTTGGAGTTTCATTTCAAAGCTTTTAGTGCAAAAATTACACTAAAATGGTGTTATAGAGTCCTATTAGAGTTGGTCTAAGAATGTCCAAACAACTCGCGTCCGATCCATGTTGTCGTAGCGAATGGATTGATTATGAGTTTCTATAGCTTTTTATTTGATTTTAATAAAAATTTGTATCTTTCACAACACTTAGAAAGGGGATTATTGTCTACTTTGCCATTTTTTAGAAAAATCTTTTAAAAATACTATTTTTACTAAAATCTTACGGATTTGCTATTTTTAACACTTAAAATGTATGTATTTACGATTTTTTTTTGCAAAAATACGTATTTTATACAAAATACTAAACTCTAAGAACAAATGGAACCGACTAAACCCAAAAATAACGAATA